GAGAAGACAGACAGACAGACAGCGGCTTAAATGTATAAACTATTTTTAAATTTTTATAAAAAATAGAAAGAAAAAAAGCACTTTTTAACACCGTGCAGAATATTAAATAGTTTGGACGAAAAAAAAAGTAAACTAAATATGTATGAAGTAAGTAAAAGAATTAAAGCTGGACTCTAAACTGGTATGAAGTGAATGAATTACTTGAATAGAAAAAGAAAAATCAAAAAACAAAAAAAAAAAGTTAAAGTGAGTTTGTAAAACATTCAAAAACAACGGTGTTTGTCTTACGCTTTATGAATGTGTAACTATCTAGATACAATTTAACAACTACAACAACAATAACAACAGCAGCTTTATTCAATTCATGACTGTGGCTCTGTAAACCAAAGACTGCTGCAATACATAATTTTTAAGCTTTTTTTCTTTATCAATTTTTTGCTTTCTTCTCATCTTCCTTTTTAGCAGCAAAATGAAGAAGAAAAAAACTACAAATATTCATATTGTTGCAGTTGTTATATTGTTTTTTGTTGTTGTTGTTGCTGTGTCTATTCAATTTGTTGTATTTATTTTATAAAATATTGTTGCTGGGTCTTTCGGTCGGTGGGTCGTCATCACTTCTTGGTTTGTTTGTTTTTTTTATTTTTTTGCTCTTCTCTTCCTTTTCTGTGTGCAACCAGCAACAAACAAACCTAAATAGATAAATACTCCAGCAGACACACTCACACACACACATGTTTTTTCTTTCATTGTTGCCCCTTTTTGTTGCACGTGTTTGTTGGTGTATGTGTAACAAGTTGTTTTTTTTTCACATACAAATGATGTTAAAAGTTATGACTTGTTATTGTCATAAAACTTTATCTTTTTAATGTCTGTCTATCTGTTAGTCAGCCTGCCTGCCTGTCTGTCTCTATGTCTGCCTGCCTCTAGTTGTGGCAAAATGTCTTTTCAAAAGAACTATAGTATTAATATAGCTTTAGGTTGGTGGTGCTTCAAAAGAAAACAATTTCATTTTAAACATTTTATGATTGATTGACATTTATGTTGGAGTGTGTGTGTATATGTGTGTCCTTGAAATGTTTTGTTGAAACAATTTATTAAGACCAAAAGTGATGAATGTTTGTGGATTTCTGTTGGTCAGAGATATGGAAATTACCTAAATGATTTGGTTAGGATTTGTTTTGTAATTAAAAGCAGACGGCTAAAGCCTTTTTAAATTAATTAAAAATATTTTTTTTTTTTGTAAATTTATAGAATTTTAAAAACGAAACAAGCTGTGTTTAAAATAAATAACTAAATCATTCATTTTCTTGTTTTTAGCAAATCATGACATGTTTACTTGAAATGAAACAAAAGACTTAAGTCACAAACCTGCTTAATGTTTGTTGAAAACAAAAGACTTAAGACACATACTTTTCAAAATTTCAATTCTTTAACAAAATGAAAGAATTGAAAGAGTTATTAAAAGCACCCCCAACAATATTAGGGAAATGCTTTTTCTAACCAAAATATTTGAAATCATCAAGGCGTTCAAATTTGAACAATTTCTTCCAAAAAGCTTTTGTGGTTTAAATTGCATAACATTGGATAAGGGAGAAGTTTCTGGCAGTTTGTTGGATTACATTTTCTACAACTTTCAAGTGGTTGGTTATCGAGGTAGTCAAATATAGTCGAAGGGACTTAATTTTGAGAGAATCACTCCACTCGTCATATGTAGTATTGTAAAATATTAGATCCAGCCTGTAACCCTAAAAAATTTCAGGAGGTCATTAGGTTTAGAGCAAGATATCTCATCAAGGTTGGATATAAAGTAACTGTAAGTAAAAAATTGTTTCTCTTAAGGCTAGAGCAGGGCATTCGCTGGGAAATGGAAGACCGCGTTTTTCTTTTCTCTGCCTTTGCAACTACGCATGTATTAATTGAATTGATGGTTAAGCCGACTTATATCTTTGCCCAGCTCCCAGTGTCCAGTTATTACTGATAACAAACTGAAAATATCCCGCCTATTTTCGGCTTAAAAGGTGTTCATGCACATTTCTCATTGAAAGAAGTCCACAATAACTTGGCCCCTCTGCATGTGCCCAGGTTATTCCATCTATTTTTAGGCTTTTGATGAAACAATCTGGGGATACTGATTTTGATAATACCGGACGGAGTTGCTACTCAAACTGCATTACAGAGCAAATTCCGTTTTGGCTAGCTTATCTGCCAATTGATTTCTATAAGTGCCTACACAGAGGGGAAAAAGACATCAAGAGAACGTTGCGTTGTCGAAATGACGACGATTCGTTGTTGAAATCACAACGATGCATTGCTGAAATGACACAAAGTGCGTTGTCAAAATTACAACGCTGGCTGTCAAAATGATATCTGGGTGTTATTTAAATTATATACACATCCGTTGTCTAAATGTTGACAAACGTGGTAAGCTCACTTTTGACAATGGATTGTATCAATTTCGGTACTTTTATACTGTTTTTTTTTCCTCCTTGTATGCGCTAGGACCCACACAAGTGTAATGACAGGCGACCCACTGCATTGTCTATAATAATAGGGAAGTGGCAGCAGTTTTGAAATACTTTTCTACTTCGACTAAATCTAACGACAAAGAAAATCAGACTAGATTATGTTTTTTACAGAAAAAGTTTTCACTTTTTCTAAAATTTAAACTTTTTTAAATTTTTTGATTAAAAATAAGATTTTCTCAAATACATCGACTTCGTTAAAAATTTCTATTATTCAAAAAAAACAATAAATGTCTAAAAAAAACTGAATTTTTCAAAATTTGAATTTGAATCTTTGTTGAAATTAAGATTTTGGGAAATTCAAAACCATTCTTTCATAAAAAAATTATTTTTACAAAAAAAAAATTGGATTTTTAAACAAAACTTCGATTTCTAATTACAAAAAGGTCGATTTTTCATTAAAAATTAAAATTTCTACAAAAAGTTCATGAAAATTGTCATAATTTGACTTAAATTGTATTTGATTTTTTTTTAAATATTGAATTTTTCAATATTTTATAAAAATTTTAATTTTTGTTAAAAAAAATTTGTTTTTCGATATTTTATAAAAATTTGAATTTTTGTTGAATTTAATTTTTTATAAAATATCTCTAACAAAAATATCTAATTTTTCTAAAACAAAATTGAATTTTTCGATATTTTATAACAATTTGAATTTAACAAAAATTTCGATTTCACGTTAAAAGTAAAAAAGATTTTTTATTAAAAATTAAAATTTTCCCAAAATTTCTAAAAATTTTCCCAAAATTTCTAAAAATTTTCCCAAAATTTTCTAAAATTTATATTTTTTATTAAAAATTCCAATTTTCACTAAAAGTTCATAGAAATATAATTTTTTGGTTTAATATTTGATTTTCCTTAAGAAAAATTGTATTTTTCGATATTTTATAAAAATTCGAATTTTCTTTAAAATTTATTTTTTTAACAATTCTATTTTTAACTAAAACTTCGACATCTCAATTTTTTTTATTACAAATTTGATTTTCATTAAAAATTGTAATTTTTATTAAAAATTTTCATTTTAATCGAAATAAAAGTTAAATTTCTTTAAAAATTCAAATTTCATTAAAAATTTTCTATTTAATTTAGATAAAATTTTTCATAAAAATAAAATTTTTTCTAAATTTTCGATTTTTACAAAAATTATTCTATTTTTACTAAAAGTTCGATTTTTCTTTAAGAATTTTGTTTTTCTAAAAATAAAACATATTTTGATATTTCCCTAAAATTTCGATATTTTACATATTTTTATCAAAAATTTCTAAATTTCTCAAAATATAGATTTTTCTAAAAATCAATTTAAAAGCCAAAACATCAACCAAAAGACACGAGAAAGCTGATTTGCATTCAAAATTAAATTTTCACAAAAAAATTGAATTGTCGTTAAAAATTTGATTTTTGAATAAAATTTCGCAATATTTTACTAAAAAAAAATTTTTTTACAAAGAACAGATTTTTCATTTAAAACCAATTTTTTTACTAATGAATCGAATTTTCGTTAAAATTTTGAATTTTGCAAAATCTCAATATTTTAATAAAAAATATAATTTTTGACAAAAACATATTTTTCATTTAAAAAAAAGATTTTTTTAAGTAATAAATTAGAAATTTTTATAAAAATTAAAATTTATTGCAATAATATCGATATTTTTTATAAAAAATATAGAAAATCGAAAATAAATTTAAATTGAGAAACCAAAACTAATCTTCACAAGAATAATTTTAGGCAAAAATGAAGGGAATTGAAGTCAAATACATAGATCTAAAAATAGACATATAGGGAGTTACGTAGAAACAAAATTCAATGTCCCACTTCTATTAAATTTTGCCTAAGATTTGGATATTAATTTAGCCAATCGTTTCGCTGTTAAAAGTCAGATATTGACGACGCTTATACATTATTATTATAAAAAATGGACTTATAACATTTACACACTAAACTGGCGATATTGTAGGTAAATGGAACTTGACCATAATTGTCACAACAAATATTGAATAATTTTACTTTATATTAGTCTCAGCTCTATTTCATTCAAATTAATCATTTGCTCAATTAATCTCGACCTTGTAAATTGTATTTATTTTGAATTCCATTGATAAGAGTCCTTTAAAAATTTTAGATATTCCCCAACGAAAATATACACAGAAAAAATTAATTAACATAATTAATAACTAGTGATTAAATTTACTATAGTTAGCTTAATATTTCATATTTTTTAATTAAAAATTTTATACAAATCCTTGTTTTTAGTTAAAAATTTCAATTAAACTTGTTTTGTTAATAATATTTTCAACACTTATGTCCTGTTAAGTTATCAAAATGTTTATTCAAATAATCCAATATATCCTTGTTAAATTTATTTAAATATCTTGTTTATAATTATTTTCTCATAACATAATTTTGCCACACATTTTTTTGCATCGATTTAAAAATTTTTCTTATAAATACTTTATAAAACAATTATAAATTATTATTACATTTTTCTTAGGTTTTTCTCTTTAAACAACTGCAAATGGTCACACTTTTTTCTTCAAATTATAACAAATTTTTTCTTAAACACTTTTTTTTCTTAATCTGTTATTTGTTTAAACAATTTGTTCAGTTTACACTTAATGCACAGATGAAAAAAACTAAAACTTGCTTAAAAAAATGTTTAAAAACTTAAACTCCGAACGTATGTGAATTGGTAACTTTAACTTAAACTTGTATCTTTTTGTTTTCTTGTAACTTTTTTTTTTCTTGTTTTATTTTGTCTACCAAAACACGTCTGCACGAAACGATGGTCAGCTACTAACTGAAGAGATGCAGACCCACAACGGACTTAAGAACATCAGTTAAAAGCCACGGTCATGGTTACAAATACCAAATTGCCACAAAGTCAACAGCAAAACAACATCAACAGCAGCAGCAGCAGCTTTAACAACTACAGCAATAGCTTTAGCAAAGTAACAGCAGCTTACTTGTAGTGATAGGTTTTTTATTTCAACTACAAACTAAGACAATAACGTTGAAGACGACCGACCGACCAAGACCGAGACCAAGCCAAACTCATATACAAGCATAAAAGTTGTTAACGAACTTGTGGCTGCTGCTTTTTTTCTGTTGTTGTTTTTTTTTTAAACAAACAAAAATAAAGCATCGGTAACCACAAAAGGCAAAGAGTCAAATACACAGATACTTTACTTCCACCACGACTACTCCACACACTCATTCACTCTTTCTACACTTAATGCTCTGAACGGTGTCTTCTGCAAAGCTCTCGCAGTTTGTATATGGGGATGAAAATGTTTGGATACAAGTTCATTTGTTGGCTACGAATTTAAGAAGTAAGATCAAAGTCAAGGTTTTTGCAGTGCATATGTTTCACTATACATTAGTATGATTGATCACAATTGATTTTTCAAAATACCCTATGTGTATGTCTTAATGAAATTTGTCCAAATCTTCAATTTAAAAATTCTGAAACACATTTGTAATATTCTGAAGTAGCATTTGATAAACCAGAATTTAAAATTTAAGAGTAAAATTCGAGATTTTGTTTATTAAATATCATTAGGAATTCAGCAAAATAATAACAAAAAAATAAATATTTAAAATCTTAGAAAATTAGTAAAAAATTTTTGAAAATTCTGAAATTCAATGCTATCATATGAAATGTAATAGAATATGTTTGCAATTAGAATGGTGTAGTATAAATAATGTGAGAATTTTATTGGCATAATTTGTCTTATTTTGCATCCCTGGTGTAAGGCAGCTGCACAGTGGTCAAATTATCAAAAAGAAGCAATTTTGAGCTATGGGTCTAATTTATATATAGTCTATAGTCTAGTCTATAGTCTAGTCTATAGTCTAGTCTATAGTCTAGTCTATAGTCTAGTCTATAGTCTAGTCTATAGTCTAGTCTATAGTCTAGTCTATAGTCTAGTCTATAGTCTAGTCTATAGTCTAGTCTATAGTCTAGTCTATAGTCTAGTCTAGTCTAGTCTATAGTCTAGTCTATAGTCTAGTCTATAGTCTAGTCTATAGTCTAGTCTATAGTCTAGTCTATAGTCTAGTCTATAGTCTAGTCTATAGTCTAGTCTATAGTCTAGTCTATAGTCTAGTCTATAGTCTAGTCTATAGTCTAGTCTATAGTCTAGTCTATAGTCTAGTCTATAGTCTAGTCTATAGTCTAGTCTATAGTCTAGTCTATAGTCTAGTCTATAGTCTAGTCTATAGTCTAGTCTATAGTCTAGTCTATAGTTTAGTCTATAGTCTAGTCTAGTCTATAGTCTAGTCTAGTCTATAGTCTAGTCTATAGTCTAGTCTATAGTCTAGTCTATAGTCTAGTCTATAGTCTAGTCTATAGTCTAGTCTATAGTCTATTCTATAGTCTAGTCTATAGTCTAGTCTATAGTCTAGTCTATAGTCTAGTCTATAGTCTAGTCTATAGTCTAGGCTATAGTCTAGTCTATAGTCTAGTCTATAGTCTATAGTCTAGTCTATAGTCTAGTCTATAGTCTAGTCTATAGTCTAGTCTATAGTCTAGTCTATAGTCTAGTCTATAGTCTAGTCTATAGTCTAGTCTATAGTCTAGTCTATAGTCTAGTCTATAGTCTAGTCTATAGTCTAGTCTATAGTCTAGTCTATAGTCTAGTCTATAGTCTAGTCTATAGTCTAGTCTATAGTCTAGTCTATAGTCTAGTCTATAGTCTAGTCTATAGTCTAGTCTATAGTCTAGTCTATAGTCTAGTCTATAGTCTAGTCTAGTCTATAGTCTAGTCTATAGTCTAGTCTATAGTCTAGTCTATAGTCTAGTCTATAGTCTAGTCTATAGTCTAGTCTATAGTCTAGTCTATAGTCTAGTCTATAGTCTAGTCTATAGTCTAGTCTATAGTCTAGTCTATAGTCTAGTCTATAGTCTAGTCTATAGTCTAGTCTATAGTCTAGTCTATAGTCTAGTCTATAGTCTAGTCTATAGTCTAGTCTATAGTCTAGTCTATAGTCTAGTCTATAGTCTAGTCTATAGTCTAGTCTATAGTCTAGTCTATAGTCTAGTCTATAGTCTAGTCTATAGTCTAGTCTATAGTCTAGTCTATAGTCTAGTCTATAGTCTAGTCTATAGTCTAGTCTATAGTCTAGTCTATAGTCTAGTCTATAGTCTAGTCTATAGTCTAGTCTATAGTCTAGTCTATAGTCTAGTCTATAGTCTAGTCTATAGTCTAGTCTATAGTCTATAGTCTAGTCTATAGTCTAGTCTATAGTCTAGTCTATAGTCTAGTCTATAGTCTAGTCTATAGTCTAGTCTATAGTCTAGTCTATAGTCTAGTCTATAGTCTGTCTATAGTCTAGTCTATAGTCTAGTCTATAGTCTAGTCTATAGTCTAGTCTATAGTCTAGTCTATAGTCTAGTCTATAGTCTAGTCTATAGTCTAGTCTATAGTCTAGTCTATAGTCTAGTCTATAGTCTAGTCTATAGTCTAGTCTATAGTCTAGTCTATAGTCTAGTCTATAGTCCTAGTCTATAGTCTAGTCTATAGTCTAGTCTATAGTCTAGTCTATAGTCTAGTCTATAGTCTAGTCTATAGTCTAGTCTATAGTCTAGTCTATAGTCTAGTCTATAGTCTAGTCTATAGTCTAGTCTATAGTCTAGTCTATAGTCTAGTCTATAGTCTAGTCTATAGTCTAGTCTATAGTCTAGTCTATAGTCTAGTCTATAGTCTAGTCTATAGTCTAGTCTATAGTCTAGTCTATAGTCTAGTCTATAGTCTAGTCTATAGTCTAGTCTATAGTCTAGTCCTATAGTCTAGTCTATAGTCTAGTCTATAGTCTAGTCTATAGTCTAGTCTATAGTCTAGTCTATAGTCTAGTCTATAGTCTAGTCTATAGTCTAGTCTATAGTCTAGTCTATAGTCTAGTCTATAGTCTAGTCTATAGTCTAGTCTATAGTCTAGTCTATAGTCTAGTCTATAGTCTAGTCTATAGTCTAGTCTATAGTCTAGTCTATAGTCTAGTCTATAGTCTAGTCTATAGTCTAGTCTATAGTCTAGTCTATAGTCTAGTCTATAGTCTAGTCTATAGTCTAGTCTATAGTCTAGTCTATAGTTAGTCTATAGTCTAGTTATAGTCTAGTCTATAGTCTAGTCTATAGTCTAGTCCTATAGTCTAGTCTCTAGTCTAGTCTAGTCTAGTCTATAGTCTAGTCTATAGTCTAGTCTATAGTCTAGTCTATAGTCTAGTCTATAGTCTAGTCTATAGTCTAGTCTATAGTCTAGTCTATAGTCTAGTCTATAGTCTAGTCTATAGTCTAGTCTATAGTCTAGTCTATAGTCTAGTCTATAGTCTAGTCTATAGTCTAGTCTATAGTCTAGTCTATAGTCTAGTCTATAGTCTAGTCTATAGTCTAGTCTATAGTCTAGTCTATAGTCTAGTCTATAGTCTAGTCTATAGTCTAGTCTATAGTCTAGTCTAGTCTAGTCTATAGTCTAGTCTATAGTCTAGTCTATAGTCTAGTCTATAGTCTAGTCTATAGTCTAGTCTATAGTCTAGTCTATAGTCTAGTCTATAGTCTAGTCTATAGTCTAGTCTATAGTCTAGTCTAGTCTAGTCTATAGTCTAGTCTATAGTCTAGTCTATAGTCTAGTCTATAGTCTAGTCTATAGTCTAGTCTATAGTCTAGTCTATAGTCTAGTCTATAGTCTAGTCTATAGTCTAGTCTATAGTCTAGTCTATAGTCTAGTCTATAGTTTAGAATATATACTAGACTATAGAATAGACTATAGACTAGATTCTAAATGTGTTTTATCTTCCTTTCGCTAAATTATCCCACTGTGCATCTTTGTCTTTATTTAGTGGTGGCCGGCTTTATACTAGTGTCTCACAAAAACAAAGTCACAGTCAAAGACGAACTCCATAAAAAATACTTAAATACAACAGAGAAAAAGTAATAAAAATGAACATTACTACATTTGCTGCTAAATAAGTACTTACTACCACTTACATACAGAACAAGCAGACAGTTGGACAGACATACAACGAGTAAGTATATTTAGTATGGAGCAGACGAAATAACGATCACACGACCAACGATCATACATTTTCCATATACTCATGCATGCATGCCTGCAAGTACCCGGCTATAAAGCATGTTTTATTTCTCTAAATAAATGAGTTTTTTAAAACATCATTACAAAGTCAAGCAATATCAAGATCATAATGATTAACATAATGAAGTTTAATTTAGACTCATACTCGATTCATTATTAAGTAGGCTACTAGTTAAAGTTTGCAGACATTACTACTTACTAGAAAAACTTGCTAAAGAGAGGGAGCAGAATATTTTTATGCTAAAACTACTCAGCAAAGAGCATCATATCATAATCATGACCATCATTATCTTATACTTACTATTTGTTTAACAGCATCAAAATAAAGTTGCAAAAAACATTAAATTTTATTTCATTAGATTATTTGTTGTAATTTTTTGCACATGTGTACATTATTTGAAATTTTTAACATTTTTTTTTATTTCTTTGTTGGATCAATGTTGATGTTTCCATAAATAGAAAATATGTTTGCATGTGTGTATATTTGTTGTTGTAATTTTCTATTAATCTGTGATGAATTGTTGTCAAGTGACAGCAATTTCTTTTTGGTAGTCGGTAGTTTTTCCGTTTTATTAATTTCCTTAAATTATTATGGCGTTTTTTATATTTTTGGACATGATCGTTTTGTCTAATCCACAATTGATGAAAAGTTTGTGTTTTAGTTGTTGTTAGTTTTATTGCAAATAAAAAAGTGACAATAATAGAAAATTGGTTCTAATGACAGTTGGCATT